AAGAAATAGGGATAACAGTTAGAAGCTACAGGAAAGCAGGATTCAGCTCAATTTAAAAGACAAACTTCCTAAGGAATTCACCTATCCAGCAATGTACTGGGCTACCATCTAAGACAGTGAACTCCCTATCACTGGAAGTGTGCAATTAGATGCTGGAAGGCATTTGTTGAAAATGGTGTAGAAGAGATACCTGCTGAATGGGAAGGTTGGACCAGATAACCTCTGAAGTCCCTTCTAGCTTTAAGATTTTAGGATTGCCTGGAAACAAACTATGCAAGCATAGATCAAGGCAGGACTGGTTTAAGCAAGCATGGCACAAGACAAAGTCATCTCTAAATGTTAGACTCATGCAGGGTCAATCTTCCACTTAGAGGAAGTAACCACCTGAAGAGAATTTTAAAAAACTAGGCAGCAGTCACTGCCATCCACCAGCCAAAGGAGTCATGTGTTGTTAGAGTTTAAAAAGTGAGCAAGATACTTAGAAGGAAGAAGGTCTGACCATGTGACTCCTCTGCTCAGTAAATTCTCATGGCTCCCTGTTGCCTCTAGAATCAAGAATCAAGCACAGACTCCTCTGTATGGCATTAAAGGCCCTTTACAACCTGGATCCCATCCACCTTGCCAGCCATATGATACATTACTCTCTTTTACATGCACTATGGTCAAACCAAATCAGTCTTGCTTTTCCTCACATCCACAACATTCCATAGCTTATCCGCATGTCTTTGCACAGGCAGACCACCCACCCCACCCCACCCCCCGGCCCCCACCCCATGCCTGGGAAGATGTCCTTTTTCTGTTTCTTAGAATTGCTAGTTTCTTTCAAAGCTCTGAAGTACCACCTTCTACATGAAGCCTTTCCTGAATCCCAAAGCTTTAGTGTTTTCCCTTCCAGAACATGTTAACTAGTATTAATTTCCTACAGAATTCTGTACATCCCCAATAGAATGTAATCCTCCAAGAAAATGCAAGCTCCTTGAGGACAAGGACTGTTCCATTCTTGTCTTTGCATCCTCAACTCCATTCTCTTTTAAAAGCCCATAAGCTATTACAAGTAGCTGAAATTTCAACCGTGTGATCTTAGGTTAGTCACTGGGTAAGAAATTAAGGTAAGCCTCATTCTTCTCATCTGTAAAATGAAGGAGATATCTTTGCATTGAATTCAACTAAGCTGAATCAACTAAGTAGTCTCTAAAGTCCCCAGATCGAAAAGTCTATTTTATTCTGAGAGTGGAAAAAGTCTAAGGGATTATGATTAAGACAAGGCCAATTCATTATCTGGGACCAACTCACTAGCTCAACCTAGAACCCAGATCATAGGTCTGTAAACAACCTTCTCGGTCACAATAGCAGTTCCTAGAGAGTTGGTCCCCAGGATCAGCTTTAGGGGATCAAACTTCTCGTACCCTGTTTCCTTTCATCTTGATTTTAGAGCTAACACTTGGAACCTGATTTCTTTCATCCTTGACTCCCTCTCTACTGAGGCCCAAAATACAGTAGGGCGGTGAGGGTTGGATGAGACTGGACTTGCTTCTAGAGTCAACGCGTCGCTTCAAGCCCCTTCCCCCATCCCTCTTAGACTTTACTCCAAGGTAGCTGGAGCAGGGAAGGATCCGCGGCTAAAGCCAACCTTGCCAGGTCCAGAAGACCATCCTCGGGAATCGCCCCGAACTACTTTGGCATCTCCTCGCCTCCCCATGCATAGTTCGTTCTGCCAACTATCTTTCGGAACTGCCCCCAGACCTTGCGACAGTCCCCGGGCCCTGGCCCCGGCTGTTACAGCGGTGAGCACCTTCCGCCCCTGCGCCGAGATTTCCAGGACCCCATAACTCGGCTCCCGGCGTTATTCGCGAGGTGCCCAACACACCCTTTGCCAGCCTCCCGCACCCACCTTGTAAACTTTACCGAAGGCTCCATCGCCCAACTCCCCGACGATCTCCCACACTTCGTTTGGGTCTAGATCCCGACGAACGTGCTCATATTCTCGGGATTTTCTCTTCTCGAAGGTGGACAGCCTTAAGATACGGCGGAAGTTGGCAAAAGCCATGGTTCGTTGGGAACAAGCTGGCTGGGGGGCGCGCGATGCCGAGGGCGCCTAGAAGCCGCTAGGGGCTAAGCGAGGTGGCTCCGGCCCCCAGCTCCGCAGGGCGGTGCCAGCCTCTGCACCCCGGCGGCGAGCGCAGAGTGAGCAGGGGTAGTGGCGGTGGTACGACCAGGAGACCGCAGCTCAGCTCGCTTGGCACCTCACGTCTCCCAGGATCGAGCTCCTCTTCCACCCCTCCAGGGTTCGCGAACCCCGCAGTCAAGTGCGCCGCTGGAGAGGACGAGGGCTGGGGTTAGGACTCTGGGCACCCGGAACAGAGCAGGCAGTGGAAGTAGCCTTATCTCCCACAAGTGATCTCCAAACCGCGGCAATTTTGTCTCCAAATCCCAAGGCGCAACTGCGGCACGCGCCCCTTCCTCGAGCAACACACCGGCATCAACTCCGGCACACCTCCAAAATCCAAGCTCCAGAGCGGGATAGGTCGGAGATTCTGAACCTCAGTCCCGGAGCCCGCGACTCCACCTGCAGGGAGGCCAGCTGCGCCACGCCCGCTTCTCATTGGCTGCTGGAACCAATCGACCCCGCCCCCGCGCCGCAGGGCCCTCTGGACACTGTAGTTACCTGACTACCTCTTTTAAAGGGACTGGTTTGAGGTTTGGCAGAATTTACGGTCACAGGAGCATATATTAAGAGCTGGAAAAGACCTTGGTCGCCGTGAAGTCCAACTCCCTTATTTATTTTACAGATGAGGAAACTAAGGCCCCAAGAAATTAAGCAACTTGCCCTGAAATCACACAGCTGGGAATAGCTGGAAACTATGTTCTCTTTTTGTTACTTTGAAAAGTGAGCCCTTGCAACAGGACAGAACATGGGCTTGGAGGTCATTTGGACCAAATCCCGCCAACCCTTTGTATTTTCAAATGGAATAAAATGAACTATTGTAATACAGTGGTGGAATGAAATTCCCGAGGGCATGGGTGGAAGAAGAAAGGGTTGATGTTAGGGGAAACTTAGAACAGGGTCCTTAGAGGGAGAAGATGAAAATGGTTGAGTAGATGTAAAAAGCACCCTACCTCCCCTCCCACCCAACATCCGCCTGGAAGGCTAGAGATCACTAGCCCAACCGCTTCATTTTACAAATAAGGAAACTGAAACAGTTACTGAACTTCTAGTGCAATTTTTTTTTGTTTTTTAATTAAAATCACTTATTAATTGTTTACTAACGGCCAAGCGGTGTAGAAATACAAAAGCATACAAAAGCAAGACTGTCCCCGTTTTGTTCCGACTGGTAATTTCATCTGTGTAGGGAACTCTCAAGCAGGTAACTCATAACAATGCAAAATAATTTCTGCAGTTTACACTTGCCTGAGGCACTAAACCTAAGCAACTTCTGTCTAGAGTCTCACAGCCCACATGTCAGAGGTAAGACTTGAACAATCCTTTCTGATTCTGTGGCCAGTTCTCTACCTATACAAGCAACCTCCTAGTTACAATAGTAGCTCAGAGACAGTTCTCAGTTCCTTTATCCTATTTCCTTTCGTCTTTATAGCTACCATTTATCCACCCTGAGATTGATTCTCACCGCTAAATAATTCATTCTCATTCTTTTCTCTCTCCCCCACCCCTTTTCTTTCTCCGGTCTTCTGAAGCTGAGAGCACCACTCCATCATAGTGGATGATTCACTTAAGGCCCCTTCTACCAATTGCCCACATCCGACTCCGTTCCAAAGTTAACTGGAACGAAGGTAACTGAAGTCAGTCTTACAAGGCCAAGTGTATGCTTCAGCATCTCAAATGGCTACTATCCTCCAAGCCATAGGTCACCTAAAAATGTTGCACAAATGGCTTGGAATTTGGTGGGTAACTGCCCTTCCCTGTTGTCATAACAGTAACAGCAAGCAGCAACAAATTCCTCAGTGTTTCTATACTACCCCCTTTCTTATCCCCAATTTCAAGTATGTACCTTTCTTACAGCCTCTAGAAACCCAATTCAAAGCTTATCTAAGATGAACTAAGAGAATCCTTTCTTATGCTGGCCGATATTTTTCATACATGTAGGATTCTGAAAGGTTTGTTGAATTCTTATGTGAGATTTTAAATATCTGTGGAATATAGTGGAAGCCCAAGAGTAAGAATCAACTATCACCAAAGGATCCACATGTACAAAAATATTTAAAAATATTATAAATATTTATAGCAGCTCTTTTTGCAATGGGAAAGAACTGGAAATTGAGGGGATGCTCATCAATTGGGGAATGGCTGAACAAGTTGTATTATTATATGAATGTGACTTACATGAACTGATGCTGTCTGAAGTGAGCAGTACCAGAACACTGTACACAGTAACGGCAACATTGTGCAATGATCAACTATGATAGACTTAGCTCTTCTCAGCAATACTATGATCTGAGACAATTCCAAATGACATTCATGATGAAAAATGTTATCCATATCCAGAGAAAGAACTATGGAGTCTGAATGCAGATCAAAGCATACTATTTTCACCTTTTGTTGTTGTTGCTTTTTCTTTCTCTTGGTTTTTCCCTTTTGTTCGGATTGTTCTTTCACAACATGACTAATGTAGAAATATGTTTAATATGACTGTACATATATAACCTATATCAGATTGCTTGCCATCTTGGGGAGGGGGAAGGAAAGAGATGGAGGGAGAAAAAAGTTTAAAACTCAAAATCTTATAAAAGTGAATGTTAAAACTTTTTTACATATAATTGTAATATATACATATAATTTTATATATAATTGGAAAAACAAAATACCATTACAATAAAAAAGTGAATGTTGAAAACTTTAAAAAATGTTTATGATTGATTGTTTAAAAAAAAAAATCAACCATCTCTACCCTACACAGGGTTCATACTAATTTACATTTAGTAAATAGACCAATATTGGTCTTGATGACTTCACCCTCCCTCTCTCATCCCTTCCCCATCCGGCTGGACCATCTTTCTAAAACATTGATATGGTTTGGTTTAGCTTGCTCGGGTATCATCCTCCCAGTTTTTTTGGTTGTTGTTTTGCCTATTTCTCTTTGTAGAAAAGTCATTGGTTTTTCTTTATCTACAAGTTAAATACAAACTCTTTATCCTGGGATTTAAGACCCTCCATAGTTTTTCCATCTTACTTTGAATTGCTCCCTTACATACCACCCAGCCCAACTAGTTTGTTTACTATCCCCTAAATATTCTTTTTAATTTCTCACCTGACTACACAACCCTAAGAAATCTGTCCCTCCACTGGATCCTGTACCCTACATATCTATTCCACTCCTTTTGACACATTATATAGAAAGCTATGTACTGATCCCATTCTAATCTATGTCTTTGTTACCTTGCACATAACAGGTGCTCAATTATACTTGTGGATTAATTTTGGAGCTGTCTCTCCTCTCCACTCAAGCAGGAATACATCTCTTTTTATATTGCATCCTGAAGAACTTTGCTAAATCTTAAGTGACAGTGAGATGTGTGTAACCATATGTGTGTGTATACATATCAGGGATTGGTATATAGTTTGAGGAACTAACCACTTCCTCTGACATTTTAACCAAGGCAATTTCTTAGTAATGATAAGAACTCTGAGACCCAAGTCGTAATTCCAGTTCAAAGGCAGAGTTCTCTATTCTATGTTGCCTACGTGACCAGTTACAAACATAACCAAATAGTGACAAGATGAAAGTGAAAAATGGATCATTTCTATGGTACCTATACTTGGATAAAATATACTGTTTACTATCAGTGAGAAATGTCAAGGCACTGTCGGAATATTTTCAAGTCCTTGATGTGCACAAAAAGCAGGCTCTGAATGGTAAGTATCCTCAACTTCATTGAGTCATTTAGACATACTGACTTGGTTCAGAGAACTGTGGGAGGCCTAAGGAGAGATATTAAAATTAAGTTACCTGCCTTTATGGAGCTCATAATCTAGTAGAGTCCAAATGGGAGAGATATCCCTGCAGATAGTGAGACCCTCCAGATACTTTTGACAGATGATATTTTTCTGACTTCCTCAAGTCCCTGAACATTACCTATATGATGAGAACCATAATCATTCAAAAGTTTGACCTAACTATCCAGACATGGAAAACCAAGTGGATGACGAATACCTGGCCAGATAACAATAATAATACGATTGTTGAACTGCCCATATAACTCATCTATCAATAACACGACTTAGAAAAACACTGCAGACAGTCAGGTGTGGTTGTATATGTCTGTAATCCTTGCTCCTGGGGAAGGCTGAAGCTAGTAGATCACTTGAACTTAGGAGTTCTGAGTTACAATAGGGCTAAAGTAGACTGTGTTCACATTAAGTTTGGCACCAATATGGTGAGCTCCAAGAGTGAGAGTGACATTAGGCTGCCTAAGGAATGAACTGGCCTGGGTCAGAAAGAGCAGGTCAAAGCTCCTGTGGAGATCAGCAGTGGGATTAGGTCCGTGAGCGGCTGCTGCACTTCTCACATGGATGAGACAGAGACCCAGTCTAGAGAGAAAAGGAGAGGAAACAGGAGAGGGAGAAAGAAGGAGAAAAAGAGAAGGGGAAGGAAGGAGAGAGGGAAAGAAGGGAAGGAAAAACAGGAATAGGAAGGAAGCAGGAAGGGAAAGAGGAAAGGGAAGGGGAAGAGGAAGGAGGACAAGGACTATAAAAAACATGAGGAGAAAGGAAGGAAAGAGAAAGAAAGAAAGAGAAAGAAAGAGAGAAAGAGAGAAAGAGAGAGAGAGAGAAAGAAAGAAAGAAAGAAAGAAA